GAGCGGTTCCGTTCAGGTGGGCCCGGTGGACAGCACGCTAACACGACAGAGAGTGCAGTAAGAATCACTCACACCCCAACTGGAATAACCGCAACTTCTCAGAGTGAAAGGTCTTTTTCCTTGTCCCCTTTTCTTGGTTTTGTCTGCTAAACCACGTATGCTGAGTAAATGTATAGATGTGCGACTTACGTTCTCGGAATGAAATTCAATCTTATGTTGCTAACTTCGGATATGGTTAACTGTGTTCAGATGTGCATTGTGTAAATCTTTAGTGGTTTGAATGAATGATATGTATGCCATTTTGGACTTTTTCGTTGTAAACTGCAGGTCGCAGCACATGAACAAGGCTTCAGCAATGGCGGTGTTGCAATCTCGGCTGGATCAGCTGGAGATGTCTCGTCAGGCCGCTATGAATGCTGAACACACACAATCTCTAACCGAGATCAGCTGGGGAAATCAGATCAGAACCTATGTACTCCATGTACGGTACCAAACTGAAAATGATATACACAAGTTCTTAGTTTACTTTACCTAGTTTTGTCAAGTTGGGCTGAAATTTCTGGGTATTACAGAACTCGGCCTTGCTTGATTGCTCGCCGGATAATCCGTTTCTTGTTCTCCAACTTATCCGAACCAAACTGAGTTTCTTTGTTTTGCAGCCATACAGAATGGTGAAGGATCTCAGGACAAACTACGAGGTTTCTGATCCTGACTCAGTTCTTGAAGGAGACTTAGATGGCTTCATCTTGAGTTACTTATCTGCTTCTTTGGACGAAGACAACAACGAACAGTGAGACTTTGGATCAAAGTTTCCTTTTTGTTCAACCTGAGACACATCCGGAAACCGATTGTTTTGCCTGAGCACCAGTAAGACCAGATCGGGACACGGGCTTATGATCGTTCTGACCGTTCTGACAGATCTTGCGATGAGTACCTGAGGAATTTCGACGTAAATCTGGTCTGTGTTTTGGCCAATAATATCATAGAATAGGTTTGCAGGTTTTGTGATAACGTGTAGTTCGTTCACAGTTCATTTGACATTAATAAGATTAACAATGGGTTGTCCATGAAAATTTGTTCTTTATACTGTTACACAGTTTTCATTACAAAAGCTGCAAGTATTCTTCCTTTGTATCATTAATACATTTACAATTGTAAGACAGATCAAGCTTTGAGTTGGAACAAGTAAAGATTTAATAAAGCTGTAACAGCAAAGTACACAAGGAGTTCCCATTACAAAATCTGTAAATGTTCTTCCTTTGTTCATGTAACAACAGATACTTCTGATGAGCCTGTCACATGGATCAGACACCGATAAAAGTAAAACCATCATCCATGCGCACCTGAATGAGGCGATCTCCGAGATTCTTCGGTTATGCTCGGAGATTCGCTTTGCTTCTTCCTCGTTGTCGCTACTTCATCGGTACTTTCCGAGGAATTCGCCTCACTTATGCTTCTTTTCTTCGGCCTGGACTTCGAGCTATTATCTTTACCACTCTCCTTCTTCTCCATCTCTCTGTCTTTCCCTTTCTCTTTCTCCACCGGTTTTTCAGCACTTGCCGTAGAAAACAATGGAGGTTCTTGTCCGCTTAGACGACAAAATACCCGTTCTACCGTTTCGCTGATCTCTTTTCCTAAACCGTTGTTGTCGAGAATCAACTCCCAAACTGATTTTGACGCCTTCTCCAGCACCGGACCTCTGCCCAAAGAGCAAACGGAAACATGTTAAAAAAGATTTTGTGGAGATTTACCAGGCAGAGAATATTGAAAGTATGGAGGATTAACAATTTCCACATATATCGATGCATAAAAGTAGCTTTCACAAACCAATAGTACCGAAACTGCCCGACTCGTATCGCCTAATATCATTACATTAGCTCTTAAACAAAGCTCCATTTGCAAAGAAAGTGAAGCAAAACCCAACCGAAACCGATATCCATGTATACTCACGAATTGCTAAAAAGGCATTCGTCAAAAAGCTACAAAGCTTATAGAGGACAAAAGATATGCAACTATTTTCAGTTCAAGAAGGTGTTAATCTCAGATGGATTCTTCAAGCAGATCTTCCCGACCAAACCTGCCTTATCTGAAACTCCTAGCTCTTACATGAGTTCTAACAGTTGCCAACAACAATGAAACCGGCATAACCAGAAAATGCAGCGAGCCAAAAGAAGGATGAACGAATCTTACTCTAGCTCCTGTCGAAGTGCATCGAACAGTTCTCGTTTGGTCTGTTTCTCAGCGCCGGGCGTGTTAAGAACTTTGCTCTGCTCCGCCATCTTGATTGTTGTGTTCTTCAACTCCTCCTGGTTTAAAAAAAGCACGACCCTTTGAGTAACATAAAACGCACACAACACAATCTGATAATGTTTCTGAATAATATAATCCATCCAACCAAGGTTTCAATACACGCGTTCCCTACAAACTCTCCCAGGAATTTGCAGATTTTCCCAGTAATCTAAGGAGAAACCCAAAAATCCGATATAAATTTCTTGAACAATCCAAGTAACCACACTAAGAATCAACAAAGAAGACCAGTATTATCAGGGGATAATCGAGAAAATCGAATGAATTAGCTTCCTGGAGAATACGGGTTATGGCGAGAGAGAGAGAGAGAGAGAGAGAGTGATACATTGGCTTTGAGCTGGTTGATGATCTTCAATCGAAGGGCATCGATGGTTCCATCGTTCATCAGAGATTCGAGAACATCCTCCGGTGTAATCACTGAAGAAGACGACATTCCTCTTCTTCAACCACCGAAAACCCTAACAGCGTTTCATAAGAACCCAACGATTCCTTAAGCAAGGCAGAGGGTGAGAACCGGAAAGAAAGCTCGAAATCTGCCCTAGTACTGCTGCCTCTACAAACGAAATCGCACCGAGATCGATCGATAGAGAGAACACAGACCCGAGCTCGATTACGTGTTTGTTTGCCTGTCGGGAATCTAAAGTTCGGATCTTTAGCGACAAGTTCTATCACATAGAAACGACGCCGTACGAATGACCTTCTCTTTAATCCAGATTTATCGAGTATTACCGAAATTACCAATTAAATAACTGGTCATAATCTGTAACAAAAAAAATATGGAGTAAATAAATACCGGATAGGGCTGGACAAAAAATTCTAAAATTCGAATATGCGATCCGACCCGTGAGACAGTATCCGAATTTAAGGTATCCGAATATTATACGAGATAAGATCAGATAATATTTTAAAAATATCCGAAATTCGGCTTTCGGGTCTGGGTAATAATTTTTGAGTCTGGTAATTACGGCGGTATCCGGAATTAACAAAATTACAGTTTTACCCTTATTTAATTATATTAAAAATATAAGACAAACCCCAGATTCCCTTGGCTTATCTTCTTTCTTTCACAAGCGCCGTTGTCCAAGTCTTGCACGCAGCACGATGGAGGACTTCTTCCACAACTCACACCCGTCACCATTTCTCCGGTTCTCCTCCACCTCTTATTCGCGACACGAGTGAGAATTTCTTCCAAGATTGAGAGCGAACACTATTTAAAGCTCTCAAAGCTGGCTTTAGCACCAGAAAAGGTACAGCTAAGTTCATTCAAACTCATCTGTTGACCTCCTTTTAGTTGGTATCATTGTCACATATGAAACACAATCATGGAGTTGTTTGATGTTTCGCATGTCCTGATTGATTTTGTTTCACATGTTTCTCTCCTTTAGTCTGCAGAATCTGGAAGAAGTAGACATTGATTATACTATGACTATCGATGCCAAAACCACATATGAAATTAAAGATTTTCCGGTGTCAATTGAATTGGAATTATCTTCAAATATTTGGAAAAATAATAATATGTTTTTGTTTTGTATTTTTTTTTTTAATATTTGGACTGTTTTTACATGTAGAATTTCATTTGAATGTCCATATTTTTATTGAAATTTTGATTTTAAATTCGGGTTCGGGTACTATTCGAGTATTGTTTTGAGTTTTTTACCCAAATAACCTATTTGGTCGCATCTATTTCACCTGTACACCACCGAAAACATAACACATTTTTTTTCCTACGAAAAGACGAAATTACCCTTAATGAATTACGATATTTATCCGTTTAAAAACAACTTCGTTATTACGACTTCGTAATTAAATCTAAATATAGTTACAATTGATTCTAAAAAAAGTGGCAAAAAATCATCTATCTTATTTTTTGTTTTATTTTTAGTTGTATATCAGTTATATGTTAGTCGTAATAAAATCGCAAAAAATAAAACGAAAAGGGTATTTCAGACTTTTCCCACCGAAAAGTGGGTTAAAATTGAAAAAAAATATTATTTTTTTTGGGTGTACACTGAAATAGATGCACTGAAATAGATGCGAGACCAAGTGGTTATTTGGGTGATTTTCTCTATTGTTTTGGATATCCGATTAAATCGGTTTTGGGTTCGGATAATTTTTTAAAAAATAATCGGGTTCGGGTTTGAAGATTCTTTCCTTCTCCCTTGCCACACTCCAACGTATGATTTTATTATGCTTTGTCGCGATTTGGGTATTTAGGTTTTAGGGTCGCGAATCCAGGATTTTGATTTTGGAGAGACATACCACCATGGATATCCGGAGGAGAAGGGTCCAATTTCTGCTTTTTGCCATCGGAATCATCGCTCTCAGTATCACAGGTACTTGAATCTTCCCCGAAACTTTCGGTCTTTTCTTCGTAGTTCCTGTCTGTCCGGTGATAATTACTCGATCCTTACGTGGATCAATCATGGGTTTGTCGAAATGTGTCGTCTTTAGCGAAACTCGTTTCTGGGTAATGTTAATTTGTGTCTGGATCTTGGTTTAAGAGCTTTGTCTGTGTAGAATCATTTTTTTCCGTTAATGTTGGATTGTTTCCTTGTTTCGACTGAAATAATATGTTTTTCCCGATCTGGGTAGGAAAAGAGGAAGTAGATTTCTTTCTTTGATGATCAAATCAATTCGGAGCGTGTTTGCTGATTTGAGTATGTCTATGTCCATTTGTTCCCAGAATTGGTGCTCTTTTCCCTCCTTGGATTCGTTTTATCCAGTGCTTTGATTTCATCTGTATTCCTAGTTTGCTTTGCGCCTGCAACTGTAATTGTTTGCTTAATTGGGATACTAACATGGGATTAAGTGATGTTTTAGATTTGACAGATTCCACCAGTTCATCTCCTCAGCCTTAGAAAATTTCAAACATATAGCTGTAGTTACTGTATTCAGAAATATTATTTGAAGTCAGAATTTCAGTTCTGTACTTAAACTTGCTCATGATCTTTAATTCCTGTCTGATGTTGAAACTTATATTCTTGTTTCATAGAGATCACAACGTTCGCCAAATCTCTGTGTTTACCTTTAGTCATCCATATTCTGTTTTGTCGAACGAGCTGTTTAGGAGTCTGACCTTTTAGTGTTTATAACGCCGTCTTCGTAAACACTTGTCCCTTGTTTCAGTTGCTCATGTCAAATTGTTTAGCTCACAATGCCGGTTGCTCCTTGAACTTTCTACTTAAATTGTAGTGTTCTCTTTTCGGGATTGTCCATTGTTCATCACATTTGTACTGTTTCAAGCATTCATGTGTAATTAACTGCATAGCTGTTGCTAATTTATCAGCATGGAGGTGGTTGAAAATAGCTATACGAATGCACGAGAACAAGAAACAGCTCTGCATTTCTTTCTTACACATTTGTTGTCTGTTCAACAGCTGAAAAATGCCGGGAACTGGTTGGAGAGCAAGCTGCATCCAAGAGTGGGCAATTCACGTTCTTGAACTGCTTCGACATGAGTTCAGGGACTGTAGCCTGTGCGGTTAAGGAAGGCGTGAAACTATATTTCTATAACATAAGATCCATTCATGTTGAGAAGGCACGTAACGATGCAATCGAGAAAGCCTTGAACGAGGTGTTGGCCCGTGGCATTTCTGCACAAGAAGCTGCCAAAGAAGCTCAGAAAGCAGGTGCAAAGGCTGCAAAACTCGCTACCCGAAAGGCTAAACGGATCATAGGACCGATAGTCGCGTCCGGTTGGGATTTCTTTGAAGCGATGTACTTTGGGGGGACGATAACCGAGGGATTTCTGCGGGGCTCGGGCACGTTGGTTGGTGCATACGCAGGTGGGTTCGTGGGCGAACAGAGATTCGGGAGATTTGGATATCTTGTGGGCAGTCACGTGGGAAATTGGATCGGTGGTCGGGTTGGACTGATGGTTTATGATGTTGTGAATGGCTTACACTTCTTGCTCGAGGCTTTTCAAGCTGGAGAAACCACGGAATCCACCCTTTACGATAGATCAGAAGCTTCTGAAGAAATGGTTTACGACAACTCAGAAGCTTCCTCGGAATCCACCCCTTCCTATGAAACTCCGAGTGACGAGCTTTAGAAGCCTCGGGAACATTCTGTAATCGAGAAAAACCCTCGACTATCCTCGAGTTCTTCATCGAAACCCGTAAAAGATCTGGCAGATTTATGACAACTCAACTCAGAAGCCTCTCAAGGCCAATCTCTGAACTCAACTCAAAAGTTATTTAGCTTTAGAACGACGTTTCTAGAGAGGTGAGAGGTCATTGTTCTTGGTTTGTGGTTGTTAGGTTGTGGAGATGCTTTTGATTTAGCTGTATAGATTTATAGGATGAGCTTCTGACAAGACTCTTGTTTAAACTTGTATTGGATGCTCACAAAAGACCTAAATCTTGAAATTTGTTTTTTTTAAACCGGCCCAAATTTGACAAGGCTTAACCGATATGTACCAAACCGAATCTCGGTTTATATCTATCCTAAACCCTACAAGTTATTAAGATGGGCCCGTTTTCCGTGCTGGGCTTCTAATTATTTAAGAGTACCACTGCGTTTGTTCGGGGTACAAAAAAATAGTTACAAAACAGAGAATATTTCGTTCGATTTTTTTTTGCCATAAATAAGCAATATACTTGGACTCTACGCAAAGAATTTACATTAGGGGAAAGATATTTCGGTTTATTTGTATGCATACAAATCAAATGGAACCGAGTAATATATTAAAAGAATTTGATAATAATTTTTTTTATATAATATTTTAAAAATAAAATTGAATTGAATGTGTGCCGAAACACAAACCGACAATAAAATAATTGACAAAAAATCAAATGAAATCGCATTTTTTTTAACAAATGAACTGTTTTAATAAAAAAAATTAATTTAAATCCAATTGAGTAAAATCTAAATAAATTGAATGGTTATATTATTTAGAGAAGAAAAAATAAAATATAGAGAAGAGATAATCAAAACTCTAAACATGTGCCCTCAACTTTTAGTTTGTAAATATGCTTTTAGACAAAATTGGTACAAATAGAAGATAATATTACCGTAGATGGACGCTTAGCTTTATTACGAAATACCAAGTGGATATGAAAATCCATTTTCTTTACTTTTTATATTAAAAAATCGTTTAATTAATTTAAAACAACGTTAATTTAATCATTATGCTGCCCATCGAAGAATAAATGGATGGATATAAAATCAGACGAAAATGAAAACAAATATAAAAGATTTATCAGGCATTCGATTTAGATAATGAAGGTGACCACGTTGGATGAGCAAGAAGACTTCTGATTCGTCGATTTCTTAAATCAACATCCCAAGAAAATTCTAAAATTGTCACAAACTTTACTATTAAATTATGACATAACTGCTGCAAGAAAAACACAGAGATTATATATTGAATTTTTGAGTCGTCGTGTGTCTTCCACGCACTGTTTATAGCCACCTTTAGTTTCTTTTCTTTTTTATTTCTTAATTTCACAATTTTTGCGCGCAATTTGTAAACTTTTTCTTTTATCGTAGAATCCGAATATTTTTTTTTGTATCCGATTTTTCTTTTGTGAATAAATTTTTTTAAGTTATACATTTAAATGATTTTGAAATCAATAGGAAAATATAGCGGTTCGGTAAATAATACTTTAGTATTATTACACTAAAAAACAACTATTGACCCATATGAAAATATTTTTTTCATTTAAATTAAAAAAAATATATATATAACAATACGGTGTGTATATATATACCATATTATCATATATATATATATATATTAAAAAAGAGAAAGCCAATAGGAAGAAGAAGAAGAAGAAGAAAGAATGGAATTTCAACTATTGACCCATATGAAAATATTTTTTTATTTAAATTATAAAAAAATATATAACAATATGGTGTGTGTATATATATACCATATCGTTATATATATATATATATTAAAAAAGAGAAAGCCAATAGGAAGAAGAAGAAAGAATGGAATTTCAAATCAAGGTGGTTGGCATATGCGCAAAGAGTGTTCCACCCAAATTCGAACTCAACCTGGACAAATCACATATTATAAATAAATAAAAAAAGGAATGGAATTTCAACGTCGAGTAGTCGCGTGAGACCTCAGCTGGTTGCTAGTGAAAGTTGGCCAAATTGTCTAAGAACCTTTGCTTTCGTCACTTTCCGTATAAAGTTTTTTTTATATTTACTTTAATCCATATAAATTTGAAAAAACAAAGTAGATATAAATTAAATTGCGAGTGTTTGGGCAATAACCTTGAAAGACCTAGAGTGTGATAATACTAATATTTTTTATGATAATGATTCAGCATAAAAAAAACATTCAAGGAAAAACTTTGAAGATTAGGGGACCAAGTTTATAAAATATCTAGAATAATAATGATTAAAATGATTTTGGACATTACACACAACATTTACAAATGGCAAAGAATACGTCTAAAATATTTTTTAATTGTTAAAAAAAATGCAATGGATTTATAGTGACATGTTACTAAAAATAATCAATAACGTGAAACAAAAGAATATATAAATTTACGTGTACCAAAAGAAAACAGTATTGTGATCGCAAAAAAAGGAATATATATGTATGAAATCATTATTATACATACAGAATAAAGATTCGGAATATTTTCTCTAATTTAATTTTTTTTTCTTTTGTGTATTGAAAGAATGGTATTGAGTGGATATGCCTCAATCATTCCCACGAGAATGATGCCATTTGCAATATTCCCACAAAAGGGTTTTACCTTTTTAGAACTGTCGTGAATTATTTTTTAAAAAATATTATTGTTTTCTCTAGATATAGAAAACAGATTTTAAGGCTAATTAATGATGTTTACATCCGTGGTTTTATGTTATTGTTTAAAATAAAAAAATAAAAGAGTCATGCATATTTCATGCCATGCCGGAAAAAATATATGAAAATTCTACGACTGATGATACATGTTGGCCCAAATTCGTTGATTGGAAAATGTTGAGCCAAGATGCTACATGGAAACTTTTGTTTATTTTTTATAAATTATGAAACTAATATATATATATATATATATATATATATATATATATATATATATATATATATATGATATTTTATTAAAATTGCTTTATGCTTAGGCTTAGTTAGATACTCATATACATAATCAAATCCTTTTATCCTTTTTTTTTATATATAAAAACCCTTGATTCCTAGGTTTATTTTACAAGAATTTAGATTAGAAAATGAGATGTTCACTGTGTCTCTTCCTTTGTATTTCCAAAAATTGGACCGAGCATCGTGGAAAATAGCATATATATATATATATATATATATATATATATATATGCTATTTTCCACGATGCTCGGTCCAATTTTTGGAAATACAAAGGAAGAGACACAGTGAACATCTCATTTTCTAATCTAAATTCTTGTAAAATAAACCTAGGAATCAAGGGTTTTTATATATAAAAAAAAAGGATAAAAGGATTTGATTATGTATATGAGTATCTAACTAAGCCTAAGCATAAAGCAATTTTAATAATAGTAAAGGAATTTAATAATTTGAAGTGGAATCGAACATCTCCATTTCTCACCATTGAATGCAAAAAGACAGCAGCAATCCTTTTGGAATAGAAGGGTTGAATTCTTGATTTATTTTATTTAATAATTAATTTTTCAATAATTCAATCCGTGGGCACGCATATCTGTATGTGTATATATATGTTTTCACCATATATATATATATATATATCAAGTATAGTATTGGTAATATTATTGGTGCCCAACAAAACTCTCTCTCTCTCTCTCTATATATATATATAATTTTGCAAGTGCAATACATAGGTTGTAATCAATAATAGTGAAGTGAGATTTGAAATTATTGTAAAGAACAAGTATCAGGATATGCCCACATTGGATGTCATATTATTAATTTGGCCATCCGGTTATGCAAGAGACACTAATACACATATATTTTTTTTAATGCATGTAACATCATCATATAAATCTGACGTCCTCCATAGTCATTTAAATAGTTTCGAATAATTTTAGAAAAAAATGATTCTTTGATCACCGCGACCGAACAAAAAAAGACATATGATTCTATTTTTCTGTCATCTAATTTATTAGAAACCATATACATATATATACACGATTTCATATCTATATAATATGATTTACACATTCATTATCGATTGACAGAAATTTCGTATGAGCATATAATACATCATTGAAATATTTGAATCCAAAACATATTAGCTAATGGTGGAAGAAAGCATTTGCGAGTATGCTATCACTAAATATCTGAAATATTATTCTTTTCTTTCTTTATTAACTTTAAATATCTGAAATATCGACGTAATTCAAACTTGGGTAATTTAACCGGTGAAATGAAAATGCAAAGTGTCTATCCCGTCCCGAGTTCGAACCTTAAGTTTGGAGAGAGAACATATATTCCAAATCATCTGACTGGCTTCCGACTCGGGATTAGTCTGGATCTTGGTTCAGGATACCCGATTATCCAATATATATATATATATATATATATATATATATATGGACGTATATAAATTAAACAGAAAGTGTTTTCATATAATTAAGAAAACATATTATGGATGGCCAACTTTTTTCTCGTATGGTAATTGAGAAAAAAGTTCACTATATATGTTTTGTAACTTTAAACCCTAATTTTAAAAATACTTGTGAAGATAGTATAGTGCGGCCACACATTTCTACAGTCTCACTCTTACGACGAGTCCAAACGATATCTCTCTCTTTCAAAAGGGACAAAGTTCCATCTTGAATTAGTGAAATACGATGAAAACACTTCTGGATCGTACCAAGATTAGTATTTTAGTCTCTATAGGTATGTGTATATGTATGTGTATAAATATTTATATGCGAAAATAATAGTGGCGGACGTTACACATCTGCAAAAGGCTATACAGTCGCAATTATATATGAGGCGTTTACGTTCCAAAACATACGAATATTTTGTACAAATAAAGAAAAAAAAACATTATCATTTTTCTTTGGTTAAGAAACATTGCAACATGCCAAATGAAGACAAGAAGGCATATCAGACATCTATGATTTACCAATCATAGTTATCTACCGTATTTAAAACTTTCCAAATCATGTTTTTTAAATCATATTTAAATCATCAAATATAAAAATAATGAAATACAAAAATAAGTAACAAAATTAATTTAAAAATATATTTTATATAAAAATCGATTTCAAACACAGAAATAAAATATACAAAACCAAATTATTATAATTTTAAAAAATAAATCCAAAATAATTTAATTAAAACATAAATGAATCCTAAATGTGTACATCTACTCCCTAATAAACACTAACAAATAGGGTTATTATCTAACTAAGATATATCTTCTACTATTAACTATTATTAGGTGTGAAAACATGATAATAAATGGAATCTAATAAATTTATTTATTTAAACTGTACATGCACAGAATATATATATATATATATTACTTGTCTGTATCATGCCACAGATTATCCGCTTAATTTGCCACATATCTTTACACATATTACTTGAATTTTTTTTATTTGATTATGTAAAAAAACTGTATATATGTATATACACACACATGCCGGCTAAAATTTTTAAAATTCGTTCTCATTCGAATATTAGTATATTTGTCACCAACTTTTGATACCATTCGTACTCATGCACTGAAATTGTAATACATATATGTATATTCAAAATAAAACAAATGGACCAACATGTATGTTGACCAATTCCGTTTTTCAACGGATACCTAATGATGGTTTCATTTTTTTAATCTATATATATATATATATATAGTATGTTTCTTTTGGTGAAGGTATATATAGTAATATAGTATGTTGCACATATAGTTTTGCTGATTCATGAAAACTATTTTAAAAAATTTCCATATATATTCAAAGATACTCGACTATATATACTAAAATATTTTGCTTGTGTGTATTACCATGTACTAATACTATAACGTTTTAACGATTCTTATATACGTAATATGTACGTAATAATATTTTGTACATAATTTGTGTGTAAATAACTATAAACATTAACCTAATTAAATAAATGAAACGAACAAATAAGCTGTGATGTTTTTATGGTATACAAATTTTCATTTTTTTCAATCAATATTATCAACGTCAACAACTTTATAAAATATCTATAAAAATTTATTACCAGGATATTAAAATATAATATAAAAATTAAAAGATGTTAGTTTGATTGTATTAGAAACAAAATATATGTAACTGATATTAATTTTATTAGTTATAAATATATTTATATTAGTTTAAACAATAAATTATTTTTATTAAGAAAATAATAATAATAATAATAATAATAATAATAATAATAATAATAATAATAATCCCTATAATTCTAACCTAAATTTACCCATAATTTTCATAATCATTAATTATGTTTTTTTTTGGTTGCTAAAAGGTATGTATTCAATCCGATTTCCTTACAACTTCTTATTCTTTCCTAACATTACATTACAAAATCATGATCCAAAAAAGAAAGTGGATAAAAATGGTAAGAAGCTCTACAGAGAACATAAATCAATAATTATGATTATAAGTTTACTACGATGTTTTGATTTTTAATTTTTTTTAATGATTAAAATTTATTTAGTATTGTTATTTATTTTTGGAAAAGGATTAATATAGTTATTGGTTGACTTTGAGAAATTACAATTCTTGTATTTATGCGGTTATAAAATTAAATAATTGTTGAAATATTTGGGAACCCTTTAAACTTAGATGGGCCGTCGAGTGCGCATGAACAGAACACTGAACAGTGAGGATGGCAACATCCTGTTGTCGCGTATAGTCCCGAGTTGGATCATTCCCCATCATGATGGCCAACCAAAAGTATATATAAAATCATTATTATATAAAAAATATATATATACACATATAGGATCAATTATCCTTTTTACGACTCCCAAGAAAAGGAATAATAATGCACATATAATAATGATGATGATGATGATGTTGATGAAGCATATATATATATATATATATATATATATGATTGACCCTCTTTACGCCATCAAAGCTTTTCAATAAAAATTTTCAGAAAACAAATCAGAAAGGATGCTTTTTTTTATATAATATATGCTTTCTTGCCATTTGTTTATTTTTGAAAACCCTATTAGTTGGCCAAAACGGTCCACCTCTCAATCCTAGCGTAACGATTCACGTAATATAAAATTAAGTACACTCTCTTTCTTTCTCGTATGATATTATTACATGATAGATTCGATGTATGTAATTTTTATCTTACCTCTCCTAGTTCTGGGCAATCCTTTTTCGTAAGATTTCCATTTAATTAGTTCCGGGCTTAATTATTTTAGTCTTGTAAAAATATCATACACATTTTTTCCGTTTTGTTTTTTTTTTCGATTTAATTTAATTTCTTGTTTTTTGGTAGATATCATTTAATTTAAGATTATAGATATGTGCATCTTACAAACTACTACTACTACTATTATTATTATTATTATTATTATTATTATTATTATTGTTGTTGTTGTTGTTGTTATTATTATTATTTCTGTCTGTCAAATTTCCAGTTACTTACCACCCATAATATATATAAATACATAAAAAGAAAATTTCAAATAATATTAAACTGTCAAAGAGGAGTATGCAAATATTTATGCATTATGTTCATCTATACACCAATTCACGCATATGTACATGAGTATATGTATTTGTACAATATTTTAGGGGATGTGTATGGAATCTAAAAAAGCTAGGGCTTACTTGCTATAATGCTCACGTATCTTGAAACATAAGAAAAATTAACCGAAAAAATTATATATATTACAATGTCCTATATAATCCAACTCGTTACGTCACCTTTTACACACCCAAAATGTATCTAATTATCTATAATTAAATTATATAAAACAACTCTCTGTAATGGACCCCGTAATATTATTAGACTATTTTAATTTAGATCTGAAAAGGGAACTTGTATCTGTAGAATTAAGCAATGCAACAAAAAAAAAAAACAGTTTTTCCGCATTTTCTTGTCTCTACGATTTTTCTCTCATTTTCTCGGCTCCCAAACAGACATTTTTGGTTCCTAATTATCAGATATAATATATGTATGTGTGCATATATTATATCTGATAAAAATATATAAACTAGGACATCGATGTCTTGTATTTCAGACGATGTAGAACAGATAGATGGAATTAGGGTTTTCCAGTTATTTATATATAATTTTGTATTATCCAAAAATAAGAAATGATTGGTGAGAAAACACTATATAACCATTTTCCAAATATTTGGATCTCAACCATGTTCATGTGTTTTTTTCGTAATTATTTTATTCCGTTACGTAACTATGTAATAAAAATAGATATATGTTTCATGTATATAACGGAACTATGAGAAAAGAATCGAAAATACATTTTTTTCCCCGACGATGTGGACCCTACGAACGCCAATAAATGGCGACCCGTCGAACGAGTTCATGCCATGCCACCACAGACCACAAAAAAAAAATTCCAATCTCTCTTGCAAATAACCTCATAGTGTCGACATGGGTTGCCAAGATGATCGCTTGGTGAACAAAATCTGCGATCTCTACGACCGGATCTCGAAGCTCGAGAGCCTGAAACCCTCGGAAAATGTCGACACTTTGTTCAAGGAGCTCGTCTCCACATGCATACCACCAAACCCTAACGTCGACGTCACCAAGATGTGCGAAAAAGTCCAAGAAATCAGAGCAAATCTCATCAAGATTTGCGGTGAAGCCGAAGGGTATTTAGAAAACCATTTCTCTTCGATTTTAACGTCTTTTAACGACAACCCACTTCATCATTTGGATGTTTTTCCTTATTACACGAACTATCTGAAACTCAGCAAGCTCGAGTTCGACCTCCTTACACAACACTTGAACTGTTCTCTTCCAAAGACTGTCGCTTTCGTCGGTTCTGGCCCTCTTCCTCTCACTTCCATTGTTTTGGCGAGGTTTCACCTCAAAGACACAACCTTTCACAACTTCGATGTCGACCCATCTGCGAATTCTCTCGCCTCCCGTCTGGTTTCGTCTGATCCCGACCTCTCCCAGCGCATGTTCTTCCACACAACTGATATCATGGATGTTACAGAGAGATTGAAGGACTTCGATGTCGTGTTCTTGGCTGCTTTAGTTGGGATGGACAAAGCAGATAAAGTTAAAGTGATCGAGCATTTGCAGAAACACATGGCTCCTGGAGCTGTGCTCATGCTGAGGAGTGCTCATGGTCCGAGAGCGTTTCTGTATCCGATCGTCGAACCGCGTGATCTGAAGGGCTTTGAGGTTTTGTCGATTTACCATCCGACAGATGAAGTCATCAACTCAGTTGTTGTCTCCAGGAAGTTTGGTAGTGTTGCTGATTCAGGGAATGCTAACAACAATGACGTTCATCAGATCGAACAAGCTGGTCTCTCGTGCATGTTCATGCCCTGCAACTGTTCCAAGATCCACGCGATTATGAACAAGAAGAAGAACATGATCGAGGAGTTTAGCGCCATCGAGGAACAATTCTCCTAGAATAAGCGGGGTTTTTTCCCTGGTTGATTTCAGGCGTATATATACAACACATACGTATTATAAATGTATGCGTATGTATACGCTTTGTCTCGTTGTTTCCTGAGTTTTTATGACTCAGAATTGTGTTTCCTTTCTTTGTCTGTTCTTCTCCGATTTCCAAGGGTTCTTTTTCTTGTTATTGCAGCTTCATAAGCTGTTGTGTCTCTGGTCTGCGTCTGGTCAATACTCTACATTTGAAGTAAAAGGCATCAACTTAATGATTTTTCAGTCTATGTTTATTATGTGTGTTATCCTCTACATGTAATCGAAAACCCAGAATTCGATTTCACCGCTCTGTAAAAATCTTCAGACAACTGTTTGATTGAAAATTTTGAAACAGACAAAACCTGTTGGTTATGATGGGGGTAATATGTTCTGTTTTCTTCTCAATCTTCTCGATATCTCTCCTTTTGATCAGACATGGACAAGACCGGTGTTTTGTTCGATTCTCTACCCTGTCTTCATCTGCATTCTGCAGTCAACATATGCTTTTGATCTCTCTATCTTGTCCACTCGATTTTGCTTGTGGCTTTTCTCAGGTTAAGAGTCTCATCTACATGGGCAAAAATGGAAGAAAAAAACCCTGTAAAGCTATGGTTATTTGAATGGTTTAGGGATGATCTTGGGCATATCAATCAGATTTCATTTTCATGGGGGCGTATCTTTGTCTATGAAAGAAATAGAAAATGCCCCATGACACTGATTTGATCAAATTCCTGCTTCTGGTCATCTTGTGGTAACATATCATTGACTGACATGGAAATAAATATGATTATGACATTTTTTTTTCCAAGATGGTTATAAGATTTCCTTATCCACGAACGAAACGCAATCATCCATCCGTTACTTCTAATGGCAGAAGCAAAAGTGTAGGAGTTTATAAAGTTTCCAACTTTTTTTTTTTTATAAGTGAGTATCTTACACCGACAACCAAACTGATGTCAGAACTGAAAGCAAACCGGTGATTGGAATTACGGTCCCTTCCCTAACTTCAAATTCGAATTTGGGACGAAAGAGACGTTTTGTATTTCAATTTCACCGAATTACCAAGTTAAGGTATAAAGTTTCCAACTTGCATATATATACATCAAGAACTCTGTTTCATCGACACAAAACTTACAAGATTGACTTCATACGGGATCTTGTTAGTTCAGTTTTCTGCTGAACTGAAAAGGGCAATACTCCAGTCTGATCTTTTCGGTTACTAGTTCACACATGAACAAAACCAGAATCTCAGGAACTAAACCGGCTCTGGTTTTCAAAATTTTCCATATCAACGAAGAACATGAATTCACGGTATAAACAGAGATGATCAGAAGAAGGTTTCTTCGCTGAATCTGTCATGAACGCAGAAGAGTCATGCCATGAGTTTTTTCGAATCAATCCACAGAAGAATTTGATTGGTGTATGCCCAAATTGTTACTGTCTGAGGCGGTATCTCGATTTCAGTTTGTCAAGAACCTCTGCATACTCCATTGGCGTCGCTTCGTTGCAGAAAACTTCGTCCCATATCTTCAGAAGCTCTGTTCAGAACAAAAATAAGTAAAAGCTGTCCTATTGGGACATTTAGATCGTTTATGCATATCATGGTTCTAATAAAGGAAGCATCGTTGATGGATTTGACTAATGTCTTCCTCAGTAGATATCAGTGAATTCTATACTAAGTTTAGGGTTGATTGATAAACATGGGTCTGATAAAGCAAGCGTCATACACAGTAGACGGGCATTGATTCCACATTATGTCCAGATTTAAGATCGTTTATGCCAAACAGGAAACTGATAAAGGAAGAATCTACGATGAACGAGAGGTACCATTTTTCTCGGTTAAGGTGAGACACATGAGAAGCAAGTCGAATCTTGGAACCTTTGTTAGGTTCTCCAAGTATTTCACAGCCAAATCCATGTCTTCACTGAAACAGACAAGATCCCAAGGAGGAAAGTCAAGATTTATGCATCGTTTTTGGTAGACCCTGAATGAAATTGAGTAATTTGCTTACGTGAAAAATGAAGCCACGCATTTGATGATGTCCATCAGGACTGGAGCAGTCAAGAAGTTCTTGAAAATCTGTGGTATCAAACTCGGGTGAGTAACCTGCAGGGACATTTCAAAACCAGAGAAGATCAGTACAACTGATGTTTGGGAACTGAAAAAAATTTCTGGGCATCTCTCAAACCTTCAAGAGCTGGGCTTGCAGTGCACGATCACCGGAGAAACCCCTCCAAGAGTTTTCAAATTCGTAGGCGGAGTTTGGGGCTTTGATGTTCTTAGAAACTTCAGCCATTGCTCGAGAGGCAGCCCGAGCAGCAAGCTCTTGCACTGATGCCTTCAGCTGCTTCTTTCTAGGGATTTGGCTTCTCTATAAAAGCAGAAACCAGTGAAGTATTCCAGGATTAGAAAGTAATTCCACATCGAAAAAGGTTGTTTTCCCATCGTTCCCTTGGTTAACAGAAAACGGAACAGTAATACTCACCGATCCAGAAGTTTGAGTACTGTCTCTTTCAGAAACTTCAGCCTTGTTTCCATTGTTTTGGCTTTTATGTGTCACACTCTTGGATTCTATATTTTCTATGATACACGGTGTCTTCTTGAGAAATTCTTTATCTTTCTCCTGAAGATTTCAGATGTGTACAATAAGTTCTTGCGAACAACTAAATAGTTACACTAAAAGAAGGTTAAAGTAACAAAATGGGTCCTAAGCTACCAATCCTACACAAACATAGCGGACGTAAATATTTTCAAACTTGGCCAATGATCATTTGTTTATGCAGATAAAGGAAGGTGGACGAAGTAAAACGCTTCTGCCTGTACCTTAGATTGCACATTTTCAATGGCACTCTTACTCTTTCCAACGGTCTGTTTACCACTTGAAACAGGAGAAACAACATCCCCATTCGCTTTGGCCTCCGAGTTCTTCTTCGTCTCTAAATTGGCAGTTTTAAGCATTTCTTGTACAGAGCTTTGCATGGCTCCGGTTGCCTTTTGAAGAATCTCCTGAATAGAATAAATGATTCCAGTGTTGAGATAAGGTAAAACAAACAGCAAATACTCATTTGTTTAAAAAAAACACAAACAGAGAAAGAATGTATGAAAGACACACACTTTCTCGAGTAAACATTTGATGTCTGCAAACTGCTTCTTAAGTTCCTGATTCTGAGGCTCCAATCTTAAAGCAAACTGAGCATCTGCAATCAAACAACACCATCATATATAAAACAGATTAGGCGGACACAAAGCCTAAACATTATAAAGACAGCTGAATGAAGGTTTTCTACCGTCCATGGCTTCTTTAAGTTTGTCAAGTTCTTTTCTTGCAGTTGCCCGGCGTGAATATGCCTTAATGTACCGATCATCAAGATCCAAAGCTTCCGTGCAATCTTCCTCGGCCTCCCGGTATCTAACAGAAAGAATGAAATCAAATTCAGCGATCAGTGTTTCAGCTTACAAAAGCAACAATCATGAATAAAAAAAAGGGATTTGCCTTTTGATTTTAAGGTAGGCCATTGCCCGATTTGCATAAGCCACAGCCGTTGGTGATAAAGCAATGCTCCGGGAGTAACAATCAATCGCCTCATTAAACTTCTTCTGCTTGAAGTATTCATTTCCCTGCATCCCGAAACCAGACAAATGTCAAACACAACTTCACTTCACCAAGATATTAAGTTTCTGTTCTGTAGGTGAAACAATAAACAAGAACTGAAACTAAGTACTTGTTCTTTCTCTGAATTAGCATCTGGTGCACGCTCTTCCTCCATGAAATCACTTGACAACCCGTAGTTCTTCATAAAGTCATATTGTCCTGAACTACTCGATTTACTTGTCTGCAGAGGAGATGGCACAACTCACAATAATGCATATGATATATGCAAACAAGACAAGATGGAGAGGAGAACTCGAAAAAAAAAAAGCATTTAACAGCGGCACGAAAGCAGAAATCAAACACGAACCGAATTCGATGTATTAACAGATTGTTGTTTGAATTTCTTGTCTTTGTCCTTCATCGAAAGTTCCCAGTCCTGCAAGTCATTCAAAAATCCCTGGAAATCCTGGAAAAATCCGAACCCAAGGTTGAAAATACAGATGATTCGTACACAATCTAACAATAAATAGAATGCAGACACCAATTTAAGCTAATTATACGCAAAGCTTCAACAAGTGGCAAATTAAAAAAAAAAACAATGCATACTACAATTCTTCGTACTAAACCCCATGAAACGGAGATACCCAGATGGAAAACGACAAAAAGTGACGATTTTTTCCACAGAGCATGAAAAAATCTCGCGATGGAGGAACCAAAAGCGATCGAAGAAGCTTCCTTTTTTCTTCTGTACTTTTCTCAGTAACCAAACAGACCATAAAACTGGGAAAACAAAAAAACAAATTGCAAAGATTAACTACCAGAGCTTGATCGCGTCCGTGTTTGCTCGGCACCATTCCGAAATTTTCCGGCACTCAGCAACCTACGGGATTGAGAGACGATTCTGGAAGAAGAGTTATTGAGAAAAAATAAATGGGCTTTTTCCCTCTTTTAAGAATTGAAAACCGCTATATAGTGTATAGGGCTTGGGCTAATGATCTATGGGTCGGGTCGACACGGAAAGCAGAGGACCCGATCCGGTTCAATTTTGTTTCTTGAACAAAGGGAAATCGCTTGAGCTTTTTACAACGGAAACATCAGATCGTGGAAAATCTGCTCTTGGTTGCTTCGAGTTTTAGTCTCTGTGTGCGTCTGCAGTTGATCAATTACGTCGACACGATGACTGTAAGTGGAATCAAACCAAAAGGATTAGTCTTTTTTGTTGATTTAGGTTCTGATTTTTCTGGGTTTTGATTTTCTGACGCTGGTTTCTGTAAATTGTTTTGGTGGGCAGTTCACGATTCCGACGCAGAATGGGAATGCGGCGGCAAGCCCTGATGCTGATACGCAAAGAACCCTGTAAGTTCTCTGTCTCTCTTTGTTCCAAGTAGCGTTCCTGATTCCGCGAAATTCGGATACGGTTTGATTTTTAGGGGCTACATTGAACTTTTTCGTCAGGTACCCATATGTTACCGGGACCTCGGTGATCGCAATCAAGTACAAAGATGGGATTTTAATGGCTGCTGATATGGGAGGTACGATCTCTTCCTTGTTTGAGCTCTTAGTAATTGTTGCAGTTTACTGTATTTCGGATCATTTGCACTTGAAATTGCTTAAGCAATTGAAGCTAAGGCCTCTTTGTATTCTTATCATGCTCGTCACTCATATTTCTTCATATACAGTGAAGAAATGCAACCAGGAATTTGGATTTCCAGTGCTATGAGCTTGATTGCTCGTAATAGTAGTCCGGCTTGTTAGCGTCTGTTCTCTCTTTAGTCTTTACAGTTAGTTGGAGTTCTTTTGGATATCTGGTGCTTCTCCTTATGTTGTTGAGGGAATACAGAAACCATTGTGAAACCTAAATCGTGGTTTTCGGTCAACGTGTGGTTTCTGGCTTTGTAAGTTTGACATGAGTGCATAGGTGAATGAAGTCAAAACGCTGTAATTGAAGATAGTTTTTTTTTACAGAATGCAGAGAATATATGTTTCTGGCTATGTATCATAATGTTTGAGAATTCTTGTTGTTATGGGCTTGATTTATTTTTGTTAACGGGTTCATTTTCACGTTGCATCAAAGTGTATTCTTTAGTTTAATATGGATATGATTCCGATGTTAGTGATATTTCTTTTCCAGTAAATGATGATGATGATGCTTTAATCCAATCCCGAATGTTTCCTGAACTTACAGGTTCCTATGGTTCCACCTTACGCTACAAGAGCATTGAGCGAATGAAGTCCATTGGTAAGCATTCACTTCTTGGTGCCAGTGGCGAAATCAGCGATTTTCAGGAGATTCTGCGTTACCTTGATGAGCTCATGTACGAATCATTTTTTCGTTTTTCCATTAACCCTTTTCATGTTCTCTGTTGTTAGTCATGATTGTAAACTGCTGATGTTGTTTTCAGCTTGTATGATAATATGTGGGATGATGGTAACTCTCTGGGTCCGAAAGAGGTTCACAACTATCTGACCCGAGTCATGTATAACCGGCGAAACAAGTTCAACCCATTGTGGAACACACTTGTGCTTGGAGGAGTAAAAAACGGGGAAAAGTACCTTGGAATGGTATGCTTAAAACATTTCTATTGACAATTGATCTTGTATTTTGTGATAATTGATGATTTCAGTTCTGCAATTCCCTCTGTCTAGGTTTCCATGATTGGTGTTAGTTTTGAGGACAATCATGTTGCCACTGGGTTTGGGAACCACCTTGCAAGGCCGATTCTTCGTGATGAGTGGCATGAGGACCTCAGCTTTGAAGATGGTGTCAAGCTACTTGAGAAATGTATGCGAGTTCTTCTCTACCGTGACAGATCAGCTATCAACAAGCTTCAGGTTTGTTCTCGTTATACGTTAGATATTTTTGTGCGGCCATGAACACACATTTTCATTTCACAGCTAAGTAACCTATCTATTCCACATCATAAAATCAAACACAAAGAACTAAAGTTATGCGCAAAACTTTTTTGCAATTACTGGCTACTGAGCTTTGCTGCCGGAAAAGTTTGCTCTTTTTCATCGTCGTCTTTGAAGTATCTATGGTTTCTCTGATTAATTACTCAAAAACGCGTGCGAATCTGAATCTCTGCAGATCGCTAAGATCACGGAGGAAGGAGTCACGGTCTCGCAGCCATACTCGTTGAAGACATTCTGGGAATTCTCGTCGTTTCACAACCCTACTGTAGGAGCTGAAGGCTCCTGGTAAGAACCAAGCCACCAACTCGGACATGGTGTCCGGACATGTCATGAAAACTCAGGAAAGGCTGCTTCCACAGTTTGCACTCCCCAACCAAGTTATACGGAAGTAGTAGTAGTGATGTTGATTAGACAATACACAGATTTGATGGGTTTTTTTCTCTTTCTGAATTCTTGTTTTTAATCGGTGTAATCTGTTTCTGGATATTATTTCCCGTGTTTTGTTGGTTTATGCAGCTTCAGAAGTGACACAGTTGAAGCAAAACGAAGGGTTAACGTCCAAAATGTAAGAATCCGTGCGATACAAGTACAGTGACTCGAAATTGAATCTTTGCATTGTCCATTATCATAAATAAAAAGCATCCACTTGTAGAAAATTTTGTTAGGAAGAGGTTAGAATGAGAGTGGAAATCTGTGTATGCATGGAAATTGTTACGTTACACGTAAAAAAAAAATGAAATAATAAGAAATGGAATTAAAGGGTAATTAAGCATTTTGGTACAATTCCACAATCCACATTACTTCTCCTATATATTTTGTGATAAGAGTTCAATTTAGACGTACATATATATAACAAGAAGTATTTAATTTATCAAATACATGCTTCTTCATCCTCTATTTGGGCTCCCCTTCCGGCCGAATGAAATGCAAAATGACAAATCAAGAAGATTTATTGAATGCAACATATGTGGTGGAAGAAACAAAAAATAAAATAAAAATAAAGGGGTTTCGAAGAATGGACGGTCAAGATCGTTCTTGGCAGTTCAACATTTGGGAAGATCGGACGGTGGAGGAAGCAGCTTCTGGTCGGGAAGGTCGTCACCATCAAGGACCCCAACTCAAGTGAACGTCAAAGTGGCAATGCATAAACCACACTCCTGCATCGTATATTATTGCGTATATATCGTTAGGTTTTCTCATTCTCTCAAACTTTAGATACAGTTATTAACTTATTATATATTTATATAAAACTCAGATTTTCATATAAAAAGAAAAATATTGAACTTTGCCTGGATTGTCAGCGAAGAACCGAATAGCGACCCAACCTCCTGATGGGATACCAACAGTGTTCCTCTCGACAGGATCGATGATATTGAACTTGTTTCGATCGTTGTCCGGATCTGTAACAACCCAGTTTTTCAAAAAAAAAAAAAAAACTCGGACCGTCCGTTCCAGGTAGCACAGAACAGACGGACCGTACAAACCGGAACGTCCGTTCCAGACTCTCGGAACGGACGGACCAGACTGTCGGCAGCGACCAAGCGGCAGTTTTCGTCCGGACCGACCTGAAAACGACGTGTGCGCACTAATTTCGACCAGAAAACCCAATTTTTTTTTACCTTAAACGTGATTTGGTCCATCCTGGGCCTTAATTTAATCCCTTCTTTCCCCCTCACTTGTTCTTCACCTGCAAACCCGAAATTCTCTCTCAAGTCCGAAGGATTCACGCGCGAATTCGTTTCTACAGACACAGAGGAGCATCACCGAGCTTCCAATCCCTCACCCAACGCGTGAATTTAACCCGAGGTGAGTAAATTCGAGTTTAACTCGGAAGTCAGTTGACATGAGGTTTTGGGTATTGAGTGATTTCGTGCAAAATTGATCCTTGATTCGTGTTCTACCTGCAATTTTATGAGTTTTAGTGTAGTACCCAGAGTGAATCATGCATGTTTGAGTGATTTTGATGAACTCCGAGCACTAGAACGCCTGGTCTGAGGTCAGACCGTCCGTTCTGGGTCCACAGAAGAAAACGCGAAGTCCAGAGGTTGAAGACGAGTCCAGACCGTCCGTTCTAGACAGGCCGGAACGTCCGTTCCGCACTTGCCAGACCATCCGGTCTGGACGAGACGAAACGTCCGTTCTGAACCGACTGGACCGATCGGTCTACTGACTAGACCGATCGGTTTGAAAAAAAAAAGAGTAACGAAACCGTAAAAATTCACCATGTGGAAAATTGAAAAACTTAATAAGACGGACCTAATATTGCCCCGGCTCAAATTGTGAAAAAGTGAAAAATGTAAAATATACCGGAATTACGGGTCAGACCGGACCCCACGTAGTGTGGACCCAAAATGAATACAAGGTAAGGTTAAAAACCACGGAATGAACCGAACTGGTTTTTTCGGACGGACCGGGACCAGATAGGTCGTACCGGAGGTATAATATGGTAGTATGAATGAAGAGACTCAAAGAAAATATAAAAATAAATATAAAAGACTACGCAAGCAGAAATGCATGTATAGTAAATAAACTATATAAATGCATGTAATTGGGGTAGCTGGTATGGCACTAGCGTTAATTCGGAAGGGTTCGAATTAACGTTTAGCGCGTGATTGTAGAAACGAGCGTTTGTGAATGATTGCACGATGATTGCGAGATTGCGTCCCATCCATGGGCCATCCAATTCGGGTTGGGTGTCACCCATATGGGATATGATTGTGAATGTGGCGATGATATAGTCGCGCCAACGTCCGAACGATAGGACGGTTATGGGTACCCCGATGACTTCGTGGATAGCCGATTGTAGTCGGTATTATTGCGTGACGAATAACACACGGTTCTTGGAACCGCGCCAATAATTCTGTTAGCGACGAAGCGGACCTCGGGATATGAGTATCCCGAGGATGAGGGCATCACACATACCTGAGATTCGGGTAGATTGGGGTCTCACGAGGAGGTGGTACGGACTTACTCTGCCAGGTTCGGGCCCGAACCTGACAAGTATTTCTGCGGCGGATGGTCGGCGAGGGAGAGTTGCAGTGATGGGCTCTCTCGTTATAGTCGATGGCGTCGGTTGTAGCCGACATCTGGTGAACTCCGGTATTGAGAGGTGACATCAATGCCGGAATCGGGTGACACGCCTAGTATCGAGAGGTGACATCGATACTAGGGTGGGGTGATGTGTTCGGGCGGAGAAAATAAAAAGATACTTATGCCAGATTCCGAGTGGTTGCGGAGTAGATGGATTCCGAGGAGAGAGGTGGTTGTGCTATGCACATGGGGAGTACATTACCTACGCATGGTGCGCATAGAGACGATTTGACGGACTCTGTCCTGCGACTTGTCGTACGGACTTGATTGTGATTGCTGCATGCTTACAGTGATTTCCTGTTTTCAATTCCTGTTTATTAGAATACTAGTATATATATGTATATGTATGTGTTTTCCCTGGCACCATGAGAATGGAACTCCGGGTTACGCCCGAGTTCACTCTCTAAGCAATTAGTTTAGGACGTTGTTACGCAACGTTTCAGGTCGCGAGCAGCCGTAGCCGAGGAGCGGACATCGGAGACCTGGGCAGCTTATCGTTTGATCATGTATAATTATTTTCTATGGTACATTTACGCTTTTGGGAAACGGTTTTGTGTTATATCGGTGGTAGACTTTTACGGTTTGTAATAATTTCATCACTACCACTGTTTATGTATAATTATAACTGGAATAATGTACCTTATATGTATGTATGAGTGTTTTTCTTCCGCTAAACTCTGAAAAGAAAAGTTTTAAATTCCCGCGGATTTTTGGAAATGTTATTTTATTTTACTTGTCCATGTGACGCAACTCGTATTGCGGGATGCGGGTTTCGGGTGTCACACGATCGAAGTTACCAAACCTTTTTCCAACTATGTAGAAGTTGTATCCATGGAGATGCAACTGATGGCTCTCAGCTCCTAAAATGCTTGTGTCCTGCATCACAACCTCGATACTTGCGTTGTAAGGTACCACCAAAGCTCTAGTCCCGTTTACGACATTCGTGTTGTTCGGAGGATTTCCGGTGTAATTGAATGGTTTTAGAGGGGATTCCGGGAAATCGGTTGTGTATACTCCGTTGGAGTTGCCAAAGAAATATGACTGAAGAATGGAGATTGAGGGGACAACGAAGGAGACATTATTGATCGAGGCGGCGAATTTCTTCCCGTTTGGACCCTGACAAGTCATGTTTTTCGGACAGGGACGTGACCCGAGCCCAACAGTGAAGAAGAATCACATCTGGACAATTCTTGGAACCGTTGCGGGGAACTCGGAGTTGGCTAGACTGTGCAGCTTGTTGCTGAAGTTAGCGGCGTAAGAAGTGTCGTTTATCGGTGGAAGGATTGATTTTGCAATCAGAGGAAGGCGAGAACCATGTTTCGGGTGTTGAGAATTCTCGTATAGGAGAAGCCATGCGGTTGTGGTGTTGTCAATAGCGCCTTGGCCTGTGAAGTAAGGCCTTGTGGACATGAGGAAAGCAGCGTTCGGTGATCGGCGTTTTGTCTTGAGAATCACGTTTGTGGTCTGCCCGAGCGATATGTAGAGGACTTCGGTATCAAAAGGCTTCACGTAGCATGCATCGGCCTCAACCACCATCAATGTATGATTCGCTATGCTGAAGAAAAGATTGTTGTTCATGTCTGCATGGATTTTAAATCGAAGACTTCAACTTAGTAGTTTATAGTGATTCATTATGAACTAACACGAAGTTAAGCTAATATAAGTACAGTAGCATCTATTTTTAGAAACAGATATATATACTTGATGGAGAAGTGAATCGTGTATAAAATCTCTTTGCTTGGGTTTGAAGGAACGTGCAGAAAATAGCCGATGCTGAAAAATCTCTTTGCTTGGGTTTGAAGGAACGTGCAGAAAATAGCCGACGCTGAACCGGTGTCTCGTAAGATCGATAACCAAAATCGGGTTATTAATATTGGTGAATACTTGTACCGGAACAGTTGTAGAGAGGACCAGGGAAGTCATTGATAGTGAATGCATCAGAGACATTCGGAGCAACTCCTGTCTGAAGAGCTTGGTTGATCACTGCTTGCGTGTCTGAATTCCACCACTCTCCTAATACAATTAATAACCGAAATCGAACAATATACTCGTAGAAAAGGCGAAAATCTCGTACAATATACTCCTTTTTTAAAGTTTTGGGATGTCGGGTTGGAATTAGTATCCAATTCTCTCAACGGTGAAAGAAAATGGAGAGAGTTTTGGGGTTTATTACCGAGCATGAGCATGACCTCCTTGTAGGGTTTGGTTAAAGGGTAAGGAACATTATGCTTAGGGAGGATAATGACGGGTCCATGAATTGTAGATCTGAGCCATGAGAAATGAGCATGCCACCACAATGTCCCTCTCTGTCCAACAGTTGTGAAATTGTACACATAACTATGATCCTTCTGAATCGGACATTGTGTTATATAGACGGTCCATCTGATCCGACCATCCGCTCTTCAGTTGCCTCACCCCATGCCTGTTTTCAAACCATTGTTTCATCACATAAACATGAAAACCAGTTAATCTTTTAATGGATCCACATTATTCATCATCATACAAATTGGATTCAAACAATTATGAAAATTCCATCATTTGTTTTCCCTTTTTATGTTTTTAGGTTTATGAGTTATGGTAATATAGGTATGAAAATTTTATAAATTGGTGACTAACCGATGAGTTCCAATAAAAAACTCGGTTGATTTTGGACATAACATTTTGGTTATTTCAAATTTGAGTTTTCTTGTTTGTGTGTTAAGAAATATAGTTTTTCTTTCCTTCATCCTTAATTGAATATTTTCAAAAAATAAAAAGTCATGATAAAAAAAAATATAGAAGTACAAATGATAACAAGGCCCATAAAAGTTTGTATACATGAAAGGCCCATATAAGATTTGGGCACACGAAAGGCTCATTAAGAAATATTGCTGAATAAGACAAAGATTAAAAGGTGGGACCCATAGAGAATCTAAAGGTGAAGTGACGTGTAAGAAGAGAAAGATGTCATGTCTGAGTGAAGTGACGGAGGAGGTCGAAGTTCAGTTTCAAAATCTATCATCAATGTCATGATGACGTGTCAGACACATCGGATGGCTGATAGCGACTCCTCGTGACATATCCCGTTTATTGCGCGGGGTGCTTCTCTCCTTTTATTGCCTTTTTAATTTTCCATTTATATTTCATTTTCATATATAATATTGTCATAAAAAACTTTAAAATTTTCTTCGTAATCATCATATCTTATGTTTTTGCCATTCTAATATCTACTTTATATGGACCGATTAAATTTCATAGCGAAGGAGTATGTGATACTTCCTAATATCATATAAATTTTATTCCTAATATTCTATATAATTTCATGCCCTTGTCATAAAATCGCATCATCAAATTGAATTGTGACTGATTTTCTTAATATAATCATACCATGTTATTTCACTGTTGATTTCGAATTTAATTTATTTGAACATCAAAATTTTTTAACTAGTCGTGAACTTGTGATAAGTGCCTATTAAAAATATTGTTGCAAACATACATATAATTTATAAGTATAATAAAATCCATATACAACATGAAACCCTCTCACACGTAAGATTGGGGATCTGCTTACTCTTTTCAGTTATATATTTCATTTATACAATTATAATAAATATACACATTATTCTAATCTTCTTACTCATTCATGTGCATATCTCCGGGACCGCCTAACGTCAGGACAACGCCTTCAAGGTCGCTTCTTCTCGGGTTTGCCGCCGGCGATGATGATGAATTCAACGGCTTCGCCGCCGCCTGAGCCACCACGATTGGGCTCGTGAACGGCAATTGAGGACCAATCCCAGATCCCTAATAAATATAAAAATGTTAGACAAAATTATTCATCCGCTATGGATCACTTATGTTTTGATTTTTCTTTATTTTATAAGGGTCATCATATTTATTATAAATTAAAATATTATTCATGAGAATAACAATTATCTTACAATTAGACTACGTTCTATTTTTATGCATTGAACCAATGATCTTTGGAAATTGAATAGGAATAGCTAGAATCAGGGATTATGGTTTTGCTAAAATAAGGATCACAAGCTGGTCGTTTACAGCAAAAAGAAATTTAAATGAAATTCTTGGGTTTGCAAAGGTCAAAGGATAGTATACATTACCGGCGAGAACAGAATTCCTCGGAAAATCTTTCCGTCCACGACGGCCGTCATAAGTAAACCGGAGTCGAAGGTTCCATCGACTTTTCCGACAACATTGGCTCCAATCTAATGGCAATTTAAAAGAAAAAAAACGGAACACACCAACGATTTACATTGCAACAATCTATATGATGAATGACCGTAGAATGTGCTTATTAGTTATTACACTAATACATAATTATACAATTTATATATTATAGTATTAGCATGTTTTTTATTTGGTTTGAATTTCCGATCCAAAGCGTTTATCACCGAGTCATTTATCCCCAAAAAGATTAAGGAAACGTTACCAAATCCTTTGAAGTCTTTGAATCCGAAGCTTTACAGAACGTTGGAATGTGCTGAACGTTTTGCATCGGGCAATGCTCTTGGCTTTGACGTAATGACGTGAGATTGTTGTTGTGACTTCGGCGGAATTGCTTCCAGATATTGAAACTCGGAACCCGAACGGAGGTTTCTTGATGCCTTTGGATCGGAATGTAGTCGCGCTCACACCGCAAAGGCGCTGAATGTTTAGACAAGAGCGAAAGAGAACGACCCTCTTGATCTGATTCGATGTTGCAGACCTTTGAATTAGACATCCTCCTCCTCTTTTTATGATGCATATCTGCAAAAAAAAATGCATATACATTAAAAAAACACAATTTGTGATACATTTCAATGCACATGTAAGGATCAAAACCTGAGTTAAACCCAAAGGACTGCAGTTCTCTAATATCTTCGCCTCGGTCTCGGAGGTATCTTCTATGATCTTTGCTCCAATGGTTGGTATTGAACAGCTTACGTGTAGAGATGTTATGGGGATCGTTATGTTCATCTTTCTCGAGCTTCAGCACCAACAATTCGTTTAGAGGACGCTCGTCCTCCCCGCATCTGGTCATCGAACAAAGAAAGATTCATTATTAGAAGAATTCTTTCATAGAACTCGTGGATTAATCGAAAGAAGAAGAGATGAGTGTCATGATGTAATATAGGGTTTTAAGCATGATGTCATTACCCGCCGTAGATTGTAATGTCTGAACCGGTGGTTGAGACTGCTGCGTGAGAAAACCGGCCTTGCGGTTTCTGGCCTCCAACGTTGAGACAGGTCCAAGAACAATTCCCGGACATGTCTAGAACCCAGACATCGTTGTAGTAATGCTTGTCCCCAACACCTCCAATAATATAAACCTAACAAAAACACGTTTATTTTGGTCTTGTGATATATTTACTCGTATATCCACCGATAAATACACCTTAAAATACTTGCCTTTGATCCGATGGTTAGAGAAGCATGACCAGCTCGAGCACCCGGAGAACTTCCATCAACCAAAAGCTGAAACCAAAACCCCGATTTTCAAATCCGATCATAACTTGTGGTGCAAGAAAACTTATACACGAAAAAACCCTAAAAGTATAGAACCTTCTTTATACGTACCCTCGACCATGTGAGTGTATCCATGTCGAAAACGTCGACATCTCCATGGTACCGATCACCCGAGTCCCCTCCATAAACGATGAGCTTCTTCGCTACCGCGACAGAGCTGTGACTGTCCCTCGGGACAGGCCAATCACCTCTCACACCCTCGGGACAAGTCCATGTCATCGTCCCAAGATCAAGAACATGCAAATCGTTGAGGTAATTCCCTTCGCCTTCGCCGCTGCCACCGAAAATGACCATTTTGTCCTCCCCCACCACCGTGGCCGTGTGGCTTTCCCTCGGCGAAGGAGGGGTACCGAGGTAATTTGGCGTCGACCACTCTCTTGAGACCAAATCAAGAACGTGAAGGTCGTTCACTTTGTGCGAACCGTTCGTGCCTCCGAAGACGATCATTTTGTTTCTCACAAGAACCGCGGTATGGCTGTCGCGCGGTCCCGGACGGCGTCCTGTGGTCGCAAACGCGGTCCACGTCATTGTACGGAGGTTCAGCGTTATGACCTCGCTAAAATGTAAACCGCCGCAACATCCCTGGATCACAATTTACCAAAAAAAAAATTACCCAAAAGAGTGAAAACAAATTTTAATTAGATCTTTTAGTGAAAATTTTATTTAGGTTTAATTTGCAACTTAGTTTTCTTAAAAAAATAAAGGATATAGACTATGGGCATACGTTAATATCTTTAGACACCCAAACACATACACAACACATACAGAAATACAAATTTACAGTGTGTTTTTTTTTTATAATACGGAAGTGTTGAATCTGTATATAAATGCTCTTCGACATGAAACTATATAATATATGACGGAGGATGAAAAAAGGACCAAAATTTCACATATTAAATTACTTGAAATGATATAAATGGCAAGTCGTAAAGATCGAAGCTAGAAAGTCCTCTCTTCACTTCTCCAAAAATAACAACACCAATGATTGATTCGTAACCAAAAAAGAATTAAAAAATAAATATAAGAAACTATATAACATGCGTAACGAAAGATCAATACATCATTCAAAACAGAAAAATTAGGAACATACCCCGAAGATGTAAAGCAGGCCGTTAGAATAGCAAGCAGAATGACCCCATCTCTCTCGAGGGTTATGCCCTAAAACTTTAGGGTATACCCACGTCGCCTTCTTCTTCGTCGTCGTTTCATCTCCAAAAGAACCCATCAAATTTAATAATTGTTTTTATTCGAAATCTCTCTTCAAAATTTATATGAAAATAACCCTAGTTTGGTGTTCTTCTGTCTTTCTATGAGATGTGTCTGAATACGTTGCACAACACAAAGGAGTATTCTGCGTCAGAGAGAGAGAGGGGAGAGAGAGAGAGAGAGAGAGAGAAGGTGAAGATGGAAGCTTTAAATTCGAATCTAAATTCTCTCGCCAGACTGTGTAATCACACAAAATTTATATTATTTTTAAAATTTTTGTAATTGAATTTTTATGACATACTACTGTAAGCAAATGGTTGTCAAGGTGGACATGAAAAGACTTGAAAATTACGGATGAACAATACAATAACTATTTGATGTAGCAAATTAGTCAGATTTGTGTTAATTGATTTTTTGTTTCCTATTTATTGAATTTACATTAATTAATTCACTGCTATAATTCTACCGCCATATATAAATCGTTTTGCTTAGAGATAGCGTAATAAAAATAAATAGACAAAAAAACTGCGGTTTTTCTATGGGGTTTTTTAAACTGCATAGATTATAAAATGTAAAGAATTTATGTATCATCATTCATTGATAACGCTATTATATTTTTAATTATTATAAATTTATATTTTATAAATACTTTCATTTGATTACCTTTAATAAAATATAACAACCAGATCCAATAATATTTTTTTTTAGCTATCATCATTCATTGATAACGCTCGTCACCAATTAGAAAATTTAATATTTAATTTTATTGGTATTTTAAAATAATTATAATTCAAATAAAAAATATTTATGCACTTAAATTATTTAATAATTAACAAACTAAAATCAATCCCGATTATATATTTTTTTTCAAAATATATATTTTCAAGAGAGTTATATTTATGACAAAATCTCCTGTCATCAATCGGCGTTACCCTAACTGATACTACTGCTTACCTGCTATAAAATATTGTTTTTCGATAAATAATCATTTTATATTTATTCCAAATCCTATAAAATCATTTTTATAATCTATTACGAAAGATTTTCTGTCGACTCGTCGTGGTTTTTATCAACTGCGGTTAATAAAAGGATATAATAATTTTGAAACAAATGTATTTTTTGTAAATAGAACAAATGTATTTTAACTAAATTTTTATTTGTTAATTTTCGAGCATGAATATGAACGGTGGGATTAAGTAATCATTAATTTATCACATATATTACAAATTTACACCACAAACAAATGTAACATCAGCCCGATGTGATCTCTTCTGACCGTTGATTGAGAGAGAGAGAGAGAGTTGCTTTTTCATGTTTCTCCTACTACTTCGAGTCTTCGACATCCATCTTATCACATCTACGTAGTACGTACGTGTGTGTATATGTATATATAAAGTTATACACAAATATTGAATATATACATGTATGTATAGAAAGTTAAAGGGACATGTTTTTCACTTTATAAACAAATTTGATATTTATTTATTCTCTAAAATATTAATATGCTAACATCATGGAATCTAATTTTATATCATTTACGATTTTTTTCATCTTTAATCCCTGATTGTTGCCATTTCCTCAACCTAGGTAATTTCATGTGTAAATAAAGTTTGGTTGATTAAATTAATATGAATTACAAAAGAAGTTTACAGGCAATCACAGTCAATGAATGTTTGTTTAATCTTATCCAAACTAATAACGATGTGTTTTAAAGATATACTATAACGCCATACAAACGTTACAACATTGAAATTAGTTTATGTTCAATGGTTTGTATTTACTCGCACATTTTTTTTTTAAATAATTATCAGAAAGCCATCCAATTTGAATCTGCCAATGAAATCATTGAAAGCCAAGTCAAATCCAATTGACACATGATCTCAATTTATAAATCTAAATTACATATAAAATAACTAGACGGATCATGCTAAATATACTTTTTTTTTTGTAAATGAAACAAATGTGTTTTAACTAATACGGCGGTTCATATAATGCAAAACACTAAAAAAGATGCAAATTCCATTTAAAAATAATGATACAAAAATTGAAGGGATAAGGGAAAGAAGGGGAAACACAACTCCCAAAGTGCATCGAGAAGATACAAATTCTTGATCTTTGCATTCATCACTAACCTTGAAACTTGTTGTATCCAAAACTATCACTTTGAGTGGTCATTATATAAAAAAAATATTTTTACTTTACTTTAATTTTTCAACACATGCCTTTTCATCTGTGATAGATACAACATGATCATTTGATTTTATTATTATAATATTAAATTTATAGTATTTACACTAAGTAATCATATTTTGATTTTATTGATTATAATATTAAATTTATAGTATTTACATTAATTTATAACTTTTATTCCTTAATTATATATCTTACTAATCATTTAATTAAAATATGTTAGAAATAAAAATAATAAAATAAATATATTTTTGATAATGCTCTCTTGACAATTTTAATCATAAATCATCATCCACTCGGGAGCTTCCAAGAACCCAAGAAAAAAATATGCCACCCACCAACCTCCTAAAAATTATCAATAATTTTTTAAATTTAGAATGATTGGATAAGGGGCTTCTTTTTCGTTGTAAAAAGATTTTTTAATTTATGTGATTTGCGGTCATGCAAAAATTGTGGTTGTATTTTAAACCTAAATTCCAAATAAATATAAATTTGTTTAAACCTTATCAATAAATATATGAATTTGTAACTCATAAAAATACATGAATTTACAATTTGATGTATTGTTTTATAGATTAAAAAAATTATGTTTTTATTGATAAGATTTAAACAAATTCATGTATTTATTTGGATTTTTTCCTAAATTCAATTGACAAAAAGAAAAAAGTGGAACTGAAGTACCAAATTTGTTGAGCTAAATCCAAAAAATGAGCATAGGTCGTTTTCCATTTTTTTTATTTGATCGAATTTAATTTAAATTTCGTCTGCGATTTTTTAAATAGAAGTAGGAACGTTTGAACTAAGGCGAAATCACGACTATGAAATAACATATATAAATTTGGAAATGCTTTAGTATTATAACTTACAAATAAATATTTATTAACAAAATAGAATAGAAATGTAAATTTTATTAAAAATTTGAATTATTGATTTTGAAATTTTATATGAGCTAAAATTAAAATATAATAAATTTTATTAAAAATTTGAATTATTGATTTTGAAATTTTATATGAGCTAAAATTTTCAATTAATGCATTTGAATTTGATATACTGTAATCTATACAATTAGTATGTACTGAAATTTTATCAAAGTTTTAGAGAATTTCATCAAAATTATGTAATTCTTCCGCACACATCATTTTCACGTATTTGATTGGATTTCATAAAATCTAACAATAAAATTTCCAATTCATGCTTAATTCAGGACGTTTTTAGCAAAAACAATTAACGGAATTAGAACTCACTCTATTCGTTTGTTCCAAAGAAATTGTACGTAATAAAATAATAAAATCAGTAAATAATTTATCGAACTAAATTTATATAAATATTTTTTTGAAAGTCATCATTTCAAGATGTCATTTGTTTTAACCGTATGTCGAATGTATCCTGCTGTTTGAAATTTTTTGTTAATCACAATATCAATAATGTAATGTATTATACCAAAACAAAAATATTATTTTAATGTTGCAAAAATTATATACATAAATTAATATTGAGTTTTAGTAATTATTGATATATACGAGTATGAGTATGTGTAATATGCAAGCAGCTATGGTAAAGATTGGAATCCATGATGTCCGTAGCTTTCACTTCCATCAATCCCTAAATCAATTATAAAGAAGTAAAAGTTCAGAAAAACCATGTGGAGGGAGCTGACTCCCCCTCTCTTTGTACAGTTTTTGCAGTATTTTCCAGGAACTCATAAAAAATATAAAATAATATATATATATATATATATATATATATATTAAAGCCCTGAATGCCCACGCCATCTCCATCATTTTCATGGAGACAGGTTTCGAGAAAAAGCCACAAGAAAACAAATTTCCAAACGTTTGGTCGTCTGCCCTTGCACTGCCCTTAATCATGTGAAATTTATAAGTGAAATTTTTAAAACTAGATAACAAATTAGTTTATGACCAATGCATTTTTTATGTCTATTATTCAATAAATGTTATAAATGTCTCTTTTTTTTTTCTACAGAACTCAAAGTAGATATATATATATATATATATATATGTTGTACATATTTATACATCAGTAAATTATATGAAAAAAAATTAAATAAAAAAACTATGATATATTATGACATTTTCAATAAAAAATATATTATGAAAATTCTCGTTATTAAATGATTTGATTAGGGAAAACATAAAGGTCCCATGAGAATTGTACTATGTCTCCACTGTCATATCATAATATCATATGGAATAAAATTCCTAATTAATACAAAAACACTTTTACGAAAAGAACATTAATTAGTAGGTTTCATTTCCAACTATGCATGGTATGACCGGTGGATGAATAAATAGGCTAGGTGAAAAAATCAATCAATTTCTCTCTCTATATATATATGTGTGTGTGTATATACCCTAGAACGTATTTATTTGAATTTATTATAGTCATTTCAATTGATTGTACGTAAGATAAGAGTGAGAAATGATATGAAAGTTGGTGCTTGTTATTTTTTTTTCTTCCTTTTTCCTTTTCACTGGAGTGAGCTTGAGGGCAGTGCTGCCTGTGTCTTGTCATGTAACCACATCATATATATATATATTAACAAAAAAATATTCATTCGGAAAAGATTCTTATTTGTTAGAATTCCCAACCTCTATTATTATTATTATTTTTTATAAACTATTATTATTATAATTATTATAAAAGAATGTTTTGTATTCACAATTTTTGTCATCAAATGATTAATTGAATATTTAATAAAAAATATACCCAAATGCTTAAAAAATTAATAGACCTTATCTTTTGTTAACTAGTTTTTCAACCGATAAAACATGATGTAAAACATGTCTCTGATTTTAAACCTTAAATTTGGTAAAAAAAATATACATAATTCAAATTATATAGTTAATTTGACTGCGTAATTAATTTGGATTTCGATAAAGGATATCCGGTTACTCTAAATGATATTATTTGATTATTAACAAAGAAATTCAAGTGTTTTACTATGCATAAAAACACTTAATTCGTTGCTTATTAAAATATGATTTTCTTACGCTGCGTATAGGTGTGGGTAACGCGACAAACGCGGGAGGGATCCTTCTGACGCGGAGAAAAAGCTTTTGACTTGTCTTGTTGGTACCAAATAGTGGTATGGAAATCAAAGAAAATAAATAAGCCATATTAAATAAAAAAATATTACAGCTAGCCATAATATAATTCATTACAAAATGGTGGCCAGTTCATATGTAACAAAAATAAATCATAAAATTATCTCATTTTTTTTATATTTGGTCGCTATTTTTCAGATCTCTATTTGATTTAAAAACATTTGATTTATAAAAAAAATAAAAATATTTTTATTTTTATTTAAACATATAATTTTTTATTTTTATTGAATTATAATAAAGATATCTAATATTTATTGCAATTCTAAAAAAATTGTCAACTAATTTTTTTAGAAAAATACAATATAATTTTAAATTTTATTAACTGAGATATTCAATAATATTCTAAAATCATGTGACCCGTACTCACTGTTAGGTTTGAGTATTGTTTTCATCGTCCTCTGAAGACAGAGAACTATGTTGCGGTAAGACAAAACAGTTGAGAACACACTGAGCAGGAATTCTCTTTCCTTTTCTTTGGTTTTTTCTCCTCGAAAGATTTTGTTTTTCTTTTATAAAATATTGCAATAAATGCCCCCTTTTTTTACTTTCAGTAGGAAATTCATAATGCAATTAAATGGAGAAGAATGCAGTTTTTAATGACTAATAATTCTCATTGAATTGACAAATAAAATGAGATCACTCACCAGGTGAACAAGTAACATATCCGAAGAGCAATAAGACCCATTTGTTAAGCCCATTCTACGTGTCTACTCGTTAATACCCAAAGCCCAACACTATTACTGAATCATATGATGATGATGATGATGATGATGATGATGAGAGAAATGGAGAGAGGAAGGTTGTCCCACCAATCATAGTAATCGATAAATGTTCTAGAGTTTTTTTATGATGCGGAAGTTCACCGGACTTTCGTATGGCTTTATCTTTCAGAAAACCGGCAAAATCCATATAAATAGTCCTTGCAAATGAGGATTCGAACCTGAACTGGAAATGAGTTTTGTTCTTTTCTTTACGGATTGAACCACTCAATCTTGTATATAAATGTTTTAGAGTTAATAACTAACAGAATAATATATTAGTATTCACTCTATATGTGTGCATACAAGTGCAAAAGCTTTGGTGTTTTTCTTCTAGGGTTAATCAATTTTGATAATTATGCAGCTCTCGGATATATAAAAATGTGTTGCTAAAAAAATCTATATAAAAAAATGCTACAGAGATTTTCTATCTTTTGCATGATTTATGTGATTAGTTTTTCGAATGTTTTGGATGTATGCGGTAGATTACACTTTATTCGAGAGAGAATCGACAAATATGAGATGAATTCTTCGATTTCTATGTTAGAGAAAAAAAATTGAAATATGGAGAATCACAATGGGCGCATTTCAACTTTGATACAAGCCTCGCCATACACTTTTGCCCTGGGTTTTTTTACTCAAATGACCCAATTGGGTCGCAGCTATTTCACGCGTACACCACAAAAAACATAACACATTAATTTTTTTTAAAAAGATGAAATTACCCTTAATGAATACACGATATTTATCCGTTCGAAAACAACTTCGTTATTACGACTTCGTAATTAATTCTAAATATAGTTACAATTGATTCTAAAAAAGGTGGCAAAAAAATCATCTGTCTTTTTTTAGTTATATATCAGTTATATGTTAGTCATAATAAGATCGTAAAAAATAAAAGGAAAAGGGTATTTCGGACTTTTTCAACCGAAAAATAGGTTAAAATTGAAAAAAAAATTATTTTTTTCGGTGGTGTACGCTGAAACAGGTGCGACCCAAGTGGGTCATTTGAGTAAAAAACCCTTTTGCCTTGGCATAATCCTTCCTTGTTTATAAACTTTTTTGAATAGAGGGTACAACGACAAACCAAAAAAAAAATCGATACAATATTGAAGAATAAAAGTTGAAAAGAGCATCGGAAAATCTTCCAAAATCTAGCCTTGAAACGAAAAGGAGAAAACCGAACCCCCATTGCATGGTTGATAGACCGATGATGATGATGTCTAGTACATGGGGAGCTTGGCGGAGACAGGAAGTTGCTCCATCCAATTATCGGCGTCAATGAAAGTTTTAGGGCTTTTAAGGAAATTGATTTCATCAGGAGGAAGAGTCTTCTCCCATTTGACTCTCCCCTTCTTATTTGCTCCCGGTCCCTCACAGTTCACCTCTGCATAGGTGATCGTTTGCCTGAAATATATACAACATATATATTCCAGTCATATATACATATATATACAGATTAACATCGTAATATAATATGTTTATTAAATCATAGAGACAGACTCATCTATCCGCAACCGAGCAAAAACCAGACGAAACCCTAATATATAGATATATGTATGCGTGTGTGTGAGGGGGGACTTACTCTTGGCCAGCGTAATTCCAAGCATCCCATCCTTGGGGGACAACGATGTCGGACATTATGGTACGAGAGAAGAGAACCCGAGAGTACCGTCGGTAAGCTCTTCCGCACATTATGAACACAAACCCACTTGTGTCTTGTTCGCTCTCTCTCCCTTGTGCTGTGATGAATCCTGGTGTTCCTCCCATTAATCGCCCTGCCACGTTTATTCGGCATCTCTGCAAAAAATTTTCAATACAAATGTATATATGAATTCATCGTTTCACTAAATCTCATTAATTATGGATGCAACGTTTGTGCTTTTTGAGGCTGTCAAACCCTAATTTTGAAACGATCATTATGATGGAGTGGATGCAGTGTGATGCAAGTTACCATGTATACGGATTGGCCTCTTCCCCAAATGAAGTCGACAGCTCCTTCGATGTCGCAGCTGAAGAAATAATGGCGGCCTATTCCGTCGCACAATGTGTCCTGAACGCTTATGAAACCGCAGCTGTAGAACATCACCTTGTCCCCGTTGACTACCGCCGCCGGTGCCACCGATACCTTCTTCGCATCATTGCTCGGTAATGGCAAGTTGTATGTGTTCTACCAAAACAAAAGACACGTCTCTTTCATTATCCTGTCGAAAACGTGTTCCAAATGAAACGCATGCATATATATGTGTGTGTGTGTGTGTGTGTGTGTTATATTGGTCCCAACCCTAAACGTTAAGTTTATGCCGACGAAATTATCTGCAAACAATCTGAAAGTAGCACTGTCGATGGCGTTTCCAGCGTCGTTAAACTGAATAACGGTCGTCGATTGATGTTCTCCCTCCATAACTATCCTCTGTTTATCTTTTGTAATTTGGACCTTTTCACTGCAACAATCATACACACACATATCAATTACACCATGATGCATATACACACACACACACACATATATATATATATATATATGAATTCATCGTTTCATTAATGGGAGGAACACCAGGATTTATAATCAAATTCATACCATACCATATATATATATATATATATGGTATGAATTTGATTATAAATATAAACAAAAAACTTACTTGTAAATGCCCCTTTTTATATAAATCTTTATCCATTCATTGTTGCCCGATGGGATCGAATCGACGGCTTGTTGTACGGTTCTAAAGTCGCCATGACCCCATTGATCCACCACGATAGTCTTTACTACATTGACGTTAGGGTTGAGAGCGAAGGAACTAGGGTACACGCTCGACGGTGAAACCCTTGACCATAGAATAGAAATGAAAGAGAAGGCTAATACGCATGGTAGAGATTTCATGTTCATGTTATATAACTAAGAGAGAAGAATTATTTTTTTTATATATCTGTAATTTATAGATTTATATATCAGAGTAAAAAGATTTGATGGCTCATTGATACGGAAACTATTTATAGAGAGATGATGATTTTTTTTTTCCTTTATGGGAATCATTGTAATTGAAATCTTTGATACCAATTAATCAACGGCATTAACTAGGGATCTCATCGCGTTAATTCGGAGATGATTAAAAAAAAGAATATTAAAATAGAAGATTTAGTGCATTTTGTTAGTGAAAATGGTATAGTTGAGCTTAAAATGAAATTAATTTTTTTAACAAACAAATTGAAATTAATTTAAAAAATTTATAAAGTTTGGTTAGTAATAGTTTAAAATGGAATAGTTGAGTTTTTTTTACCAATATTTATTTGTAAAATAAAAAAGGTAAAAAAACTATACAAAGTTTTATAAAAGGTAAAATATCTCTTATACCTTAATTAATTTTTTTTAACAAACAAATTGAAAGTAATTTAAAAAATTTATAAAGTTTGGTTAGTAAGAGTTTAAAATGGTATAGTTGATTTTTTTTTACCAAACTTTATTTGCAAAATAAAAAGGTAAAAAGTTATACAAAGTTTTAAGAAAGGTAAAAATATCTCTTATAACGGAAATTATTTTTTTTAACAAACAAATTAAAAGTAATTTAAAAAAAATTATAAAGTGTGGTTAGTAAGAGTTTAAAATGATATAGTTAAGTTTTTTTTTTACCAATATTCATTTGCAAAATTAAAAGGTAAAAAGTTTTATAAATTTTTATACAAAGGTAAAATCTCTTATAGCGGGAATAAATATTTTAACAGACAAATTGAAAATAATTTTAAAAAATTATAAAGTTTGGTTAGTAAGAGGTTAAAATGATATAGTTGAGTTTTTTTTTTACCAATATTCATTTGCAAAATAAAAAGATAAAAAGTTGAAAAAAAGTTTTATAAAAAGTAAAATATCTTTTATAGTGGAAATAATTTTTTTAACAAACAAATTGAAAGTAATTTTAAAAAAATTATAAAGTATGGTTAGTAAGAATTTAATATGGTATAGTTGATTTTTTTTAGCAATATTCATTTGAAAAATAAAAAGATAAAAAGTTGTACAAAATTTTATAAAAATTAAAATATCTCTTATAACAGAAATAATTTTCTTAACAAACAAATTAAAAGTAATTTAAAAAATTTATAAAGGATGGTTAATAAGAGATTAAAATGGTATAGTTGAGTTTTTTTTATCAATATTTATTTACAAAATTAAAAGATAAAAAGTTGTAGAAAGTTTGATAAAAGGTAAAATTTCTCTCATACCATAATTAATTTTTTTTAACAAACAAATTTAAAGTAATTTAAAAAATTTATAAATTGTGATTAGTAAAAGGTTAAAATGGTATAATTGAACTTTTTTTTATCAATTAAAGATAGAGAGGTGATTTTAATGTATTTCTTATTCTGTATTGTGATAATAAGCAACGTATAATTATATAGTCTGTACATTTATATAGTCTATACAAAGAAATCAAAGAGTCCTAATAGAAAATACTATTAAATGTCGTATTTAATTGCTATTAATAGAAGCCAGTAAGAAAGAATCAAAGCAACGACTAATTTATAACGGTAGACACAATTGATGGTAAAGGTTAATTGTCTTTGGAAAGATAGTTCGTTGAATTCAATACCAATATTTAGGGATAGGCATTCGGTTCAGATATTTCAGTTATTAACCGAATCGACCGATATATATCTGAATCGAACCGAACCAAACGAACCGAATAAAATTAAATAACCATTTGGTTATGTTTTTTTAAAACATGAAATAACCGTAAACCGAATAAAACAAACCCGAATTAACCGTACCAAATAAATCGAATATAACTGTTTATGCATATATGTATCACTAATTGATATACAATATATGTTAAATCTAATTAGAAAAAATAGTATAATGATATTGTTTTATAAATATGGTATATAACAAATTGAGATATATAATTTTTTTAATTTAATTATTGTTTTATTATTTTCAATTTATTTCATTCTTATTTTTTTATTTTTAAATTTTGTGCTATATGGACATTTGAAAATGAGAAAATTTATTTAAAATTTTTTATTTTTTTGTTTTTAAGTCAAAACAAATTATGATATAAATTTATATTTTATTGTTTCATATGTTAAAATGTTCACGATGGTATTTTATATTATATCATGTTTGAATATTATTTTTCTATTATAAACGTTTCAATTTTTTTAATAATAGAACCGAAACAAACTGAATCTTTATTTGGTTATAATTTTAAATATATAAAACCGAATTGAACCAATCAAAACCCAACCAAACCAAACCGAATAAAATTAAATAACTGTTTTGTTATGAATTTTTAAAATCCAAAATACCCGAATCTAAATTAACGTGACCAATTAACCCGAATCGAATTGTTGCCCACTCGTACCAATAATCATTTGCAAAATTCTATCATAAAATTTTTTTAGCATAACTTTTTTTAAGTTATGTTAGACTGTGTAGATATATCTTGTTGATATAAATAGCTCAATTAATTCCTTTAAGTTATCTTAGACTATGTAGTCTCATACCTACACAGCCCTCGGATCCCTTTTATTCCGATGCGTTCGATTCATCCCTGTACACCCTACCCAGAAGCTCGTCAGGAGCCGCTCCTTGTCCGTGCCTCTTGCACCGGTGATCACTCTCCACCCTCTTACAATATCCTGAGCTATTACAGGCCCACCATCTTTCACCTGATTCGTCCTCGAACCACACCGTACTGGGAGAATATCGGCTCTGACACCATTCGTAACGACTTTTGGCCGCCACGGAATGATAGAGTTGTCCCCACTAGGGCTGGGCACTTTTATCCGACACCCGCGGGTTTCCGCGTACCCTATCTCACGAGTACCCGGGATTCAACACTCGTGAGATAATGAGATAGAGATCGAGTTCCCTGAGACGAAAAACCCAAGTCTCGGGTTCGGGTTCGAGTTCAAAAAATTTGTGACGGGTCGGCAAAAAAATAAAATTACAAAAATACCCTTAATATTTAATATATTTACAACATTACCCCTAACTCTAATTTACCCTAACCCTAATTCATGAAATTTTCTCGCAGACTCTCTCTCTCTTCAGAACTACTCTCTCGCCTCTCGGTCTCGCTATCTCTCTGTCTCCGGCGGATTGGCCATTGTTTCTTCTTCTCCGTCATTCGGCTTCTCCTCCGTCTTCGTCTCCATCGTTCGACTCTCTGTCTCTCCGTCTCCGGCGGATTAGCCTTTTGATGCGACGTGTTTCTCTGGTCGAAAAGTTTGCCCCGCTGCTAGCCCGTATTTCTCTGGTAGATTTCTCGTGTTTTGGATCTGACATGAGGACTATTCTGTCGCGTTTGAGCCATTACCGATCATCTCTTCCCCGAATACAGTGAGCTTTCTACTCTGTTTCCTGTCCGAATTTCTAATTGCTCATGTTCCCATCGTTTTCTGCATATTCATTTACTTTGGGTTTTAAGATTTTGGGATTATTCTAGGAATCAAGAAGTTTATGCGTCTAAATACATTGAGGGGTGAGATGGTACATAAATGTGATATTTTTGGGATTTTCCTTAGATGCTTCGGAATTACATGATTTAGGGTTTTTTCCCCAAACTTGGTGAGATTTTGGTTCCATTGGTGGTGACGTGGTGTTATCCATCCTTATATCTGATTCAAATCTCATCATTGAATTTATTTTCTTTTTTTTGGTGGGTTCAAGAATTATGATGCCGTTGAACTTATGATGCATTTTGGATAAATTTTGATGTTGATTTTTATGCCATTGATGTATTAATTTTGCAGATTTGTCTGCTCAATTTTTTTTTAAATTTTACACGAGTTCGGGTTCGGGTATCGCGGATACCCGAACTCGTGTCTCGGGTATCCGAATTTCGGGTACCCGGACTTCGCGAGATAGAGATCGAGACATTTCAATCAAAAATCCGACGAGACCGAGATCGAGATAAAGATACCCTAAAAAGTCCGAGTACCTGCCCAGACCTAGTCCCCACACACCAACACGGGACCTTTTAGCGTGTTTTGTCCTCACTCGCACACATCGTGGAAAGTACTTCCCGTGAGATCACCCATCGTATTGTTGGTATTTTTAGAGTAAATGAATGAGATTTATTAATAATCTCTCAAGAGATTCATAGTTATATGTATTACGGATATGGTGGAGGAGTTAAATATTCGTAAATGATATAATATGGATCGGTGAAACACATATGTGTTTGGCAGTAAAGTTGTTCGGTTTGTGAGTGAGGTATACCTCAACTTGGGTGAAGTAGAACTCAGTCTTCATGACGAAAACGAAATTTTCTTTACACAAATGTAACTCGGACCGTGTTACTTTTCTGAGAAAAAATTCGTGTTGCACAGAAATTTGACACTGCCCGTATCACGTGGAACTCGATCTGAGTCAAAAGTCTATGAGAAGTACTTCGTGTTGTGTCA